GTTAGGCAGTTAGCCTGTCACTGAGGTGAATTTAAAGTCTTACACTTCCAAATTCTTAAAATATTTGGAGCATTATTAGTATAAATAAAGTGATAACTTTTTTTTTGGATTTTTGGATTTTGTTTTTGTTGGTTTATTTTTCCTCCCTTCCCAGTAACAACTTCTGAGGAACGTTGTGAAAGGCTTAAAGTGACTTGATAACAAAATTTGTAGCCCAAGAACAGCTGTAGGGATCTACTATAGCATTACCTCCCCTCAGTATTTTTGTAAGCATCTGCTCTTGGCCATTGCTGAGATGAAGAGGCAGATCCGGGAAGGGCAGTGTGCTGTATGTGTGTCTGAGTAGTGAAACAGAGAAGTAATGATGCACATGTAGGAGGGAGCTTGCTTGGTCAGGAGCATACAGAGCTAAATCCTATTCCAGAACACCTGATCTTGGTGATGTGCTTAGAGAGGAGGAAGAAAAAGAAGCTGCTGGGGTACCTCCCTATTTCTTACATGGAGTGGTGTTTTTTTTCCCTTGTTGGTCCGAAAGAGGTTTTACAGTCATATCCTGAGTCCAGTAGTTAAGACTACTTTTTTACATGGGTTTGCCTGTGTTAGCTATGCAGCATTTTTATTCATTTCTTCTAGCTAATTAATAATGTATTTACTGAGTGTGTTCTGTGGAATTAAACTGCATCTTTAACAAATGGGCAAAGCAGTCCTGACCTCCCCGCTGCTTCATTGAGATGATCACATTGCAAAAGCTGGATTCTTTCCCTAGTGCAGTATGTTTAGTATGTGCTTGGCTTGAAAATTGATAGCAGTAAATTAAACGATAACCTGTTGCTTCAAAGGAATGCTTGGGAGAGGGAAGCTCTGAGCTGGTTTGATTTCCTGCTTTGATGGAACTCTGGCAAAGCCTTTGCTTTTTTTTTTGACAGAGAAAAAACAGCTCCAAGACTGCAGAAGGCAATGGTGATGAATTTTAATAGGGATCTTTGTCTTTTATTCCAAGTTTTACATAAGATTAAGTAAGTGCTAATGCTGCTTTTGCAGGCACACATCAGTATGCTATCTCTTAGCTAAAAAAAGCTTCCTTGCCATTTTYCATGGTGTTCTGGTGCAGAATTCACTTAAATATTCCCTTTTATGTATTTGTTGTTTATTTGTACATTTCTTATGCAGTGATTTATTGGATTTTACTGATGTGTGTTTTCTTTGCAACTTAGTTGCAATGCTTTTATGTAGTGAGGTCCAGGTAACTGTCACAGCTGTCTGTCAGAGGGGACTATTCTTACAGCAGTTTATTTTCAATACTGAAGGCCCACTGCCTTGAAATACTGAAACTAAATTACCAGAAGCTCTTGTCACAACACAAATTCCCTAATTTATTTAAACTTGAAAGTAATAATATCTAATGCTTCAAATAAAGGACTGTAAYGGGAAGAAAACTGAATTCTGTCCTCCCATTTGTCATTCAAATATCATAAAAAACTGGAGWTGTTGTATTATTGTATGATTATGTTCTGAATAGTGATTTTGTTTGGTTAGTGTCTCAGTCTTCAGACTTGTTCGCTTTACAGTTGCTGAAAAAAGTCCTGAAAAAAATCCAGCACRGTCTCAAAACTTATCTGTTTTTCAGGTATTCTGTATATCTAGCAAGTGTTGTACTTGGTAAGATTGAGGGGGGGAAAAAAAAAGGCAAAATTCTAATRTAAACCTGCACCAGGCTGTCACAGATGGGGTAGATGCTATATAAGCAAGATGGTTTGTTGTATTACTGAAACATCTGTGTGACAGTTCCTGTTTCATCACACAAGCGTATTTGTCTGCTGTGGGCCATGTGCTCAAGCATCTCTGTGTCATGTGTGCATAGCCAGAAAGCCTCTTCTGCCTCAGAGGAAAACTGAATCATTGTTTGCTTCAAAAGCAAACAGAGCAAGAAAAATTATTCTGCATCCTTTTTCTGTGTTTCTAATTCCTTTTATTTTTTTCTTAATGAACAACCTTCTCTTCAGTAATTCCTATAATGATGACAAATTCTGTCTGCCTTCTTCAAACTTGCTAATCAAAGTAAGGATGTTTTTCTCCCATCGTTTGTTGCTGTGGCTTATTGGAGCAGATGAAAAACAAACAAAACCTTATAATSCCCTGTTAAGGTGTGTGTGTTTTTGGTCTTTTTTTTTTGTTTCCAGTGGTTCCATTTTTAGGTCAAGTCCATATGTAAACTTGCAGCTGTGTTGCCTACTGAAGTCCTCTGAATCTAATTGCATCTATCAATACTGAAAATATTGCATTATTTTGCTTTCAGAGATTTTAAGATAATTTTTTTCAAATGTCCTGCACTCCAGGTGGTCTTGATTGCTTGTGAAAGAAAGATCCAAGCAGATGTTGAACTCTTGTGAACTTGGTCCTGACTTCTTTAAAAACTGATACAGAATAGCATATACAGCTGCAAAAGTCACATCCAATAAAACTGCTTTATTGATGTAGTACAAGTTTTAGTCATATTTTCTGGTGTAGCATGAAGTTGATATAAGAACACTTTAAAAGCTGCTATAACAGCTATGAAAAAACGGTTTTAGTGAATGAGGATGAATGATAAAGTTGCTCTGCTTTTAATCTAAAGAAATATTTGAAAGGACAGTCTTGTGAAGTAGCTCAAACCGGGGATCCTTGCTGTTCTACAAATAGGTTTTATAGATTTTTAGATAAATCTATACATGCATGCTTCCAAAAGACCCCGATGTTTAACGTACACAAATTGGTATTTCTTACTGAGCACCATCTATCAAGGATTTGTATGGAAAACTTGCTCTTGTCCGAGTCTGATGAACAGCAAGGCTAACTGCACATGCACTTGCTTGCAAGTGCCTGAGTACCGTTATGATTGTAGGTTAATAAGGACTGCTTAATATCACTCCAATTTTTATCTTGCACTTATAATGGTAAGAAGGGCTAGTTCAGCTCTATTCCACAGAATACACATGTTACTTCAATGTTAGGCTTGGTTTTGTCTTTGTCTTACTAGGCCCATTTGAAAAGGTTCTTGTGATTAATYGTTTTTCTGTTTTAGGTTTCAGAAATAAGTTTTTAAAACTGGCTCTTCATGGTTCTTCTTTACAATGGAATCTGTAGGAACTTGGCTGGCCTTTTAAGCTGTGCTTAGCTGCACAGTAAGTTTGTTCATTGTGGATCCTTTAGAATAATTGTTTCAGTATGATTGTGCAGGAATAAGTTGCTGCAGGACGGCAGAAATAAGAGCATGTTTCCTTGTGGCATAGCATGAAAACTAATCGCCCGCACCAGAATGAAATTTGTTTTGTTTTAGGACAGAGAGATTTATGTTGGTATAACCACAATAGAATAACTGTGTAGAAGTTTGCTGAGTTTTGAACAGTGTTGTCAAATTACCCAGGGCAAACAGTTTGTGGAACTTGCTCTGTTTTTCTGGCTTCCCTTTCCCTTTATTTTTGCTTGTGAATAAACCTTGTTTTCTCATCGTTGCCTAAGTAATCTARTGTATGGACTCTGCAACTTCAAAAGAATTGTCTGGGAACAAAATTTGCCATTCCATCAGAGTTTCTGCTCCGTTTCCCTTCCCACGGAAGTGATGATGCTTGAAAGAGCTAAGTTAGTGGCAACTGCATCCTGTGCAGCCAGTCCAGCTGTAAGTGAAGGATGCAGCACTAAAACTTTCAGAGTGATCAGGTAGTAGGGAAAAGCTCTGAACATTTACATCCTCTTTATTTGCTTTGATTAAACCTTGAGCACATTTAAACCAAGATTATCATCTTGCCTGAAAGTGCAGGCTCTCTAATTAATGAGGTGGTGGTTGCGTTTTGTAACTTCATCTTCCCACTGAGGCCAGGGGTTATTTGTCCGTGCTACTTTGAGAATCAGCCTTGTATGTTCTCAAGGGGYCAGTGCCTTACTAGGCTTTCAGAAAGCATTTTCCTTTTCAGCATGCTTTGAAAGTGGATGTTTATGAAGTGCTAAGTAGAAAGAGTTTTCTTGATTATTAGTGAATTTTAATAAGATGATTTTGATGGGAAGTAGTATAAGCTCTGTAAAAGTAGTTTCTGTTTCTGAAGGTTACTGTCTTTGGGCCATTTTTCCCTGGGCCATTTTTCCCTGGAAAAATAAAATTTGGATATGCAAAACATGGATTTATTGTTAAATATTTATTGCTGATATATTGTTAAATATTTCCAACTGCAGCATTGCAGTTGGAAAGAGGAAATTTTCAGGGAGTTTTTGTTAGAATGACATATTTATTGGGATGCAATATTTTCATGGGATCTGAATTTATTAAAAAAGAACCTTCATAGGAGATAAACTTTTGTACTCCCTAATTTAATTGCTGTTTGCAATYGTATATTACTGCTTCATGTGTCCTTAAATAAAAGAAAAAGTAAAGCTAAAATCTCTGGGCAGATGTTTTTCCTCCCCAGTTAGAAAAATAAAGGCTCTCCAGTGCATAAACAGAAGAGAAATTGTCGTATTTGGCTGTTTATGATAAATTTTTATTGATATCTAAGTGAGAAACTTCAAACTGGATTATTATAAAAATGTGAGAAACAGTGAATAACTCCTTTAGAGCAATTCTACAGGAAAAGACAGCAAATTCCTTGAAAATGTGTCAATATAGCATCAACAGAGTGATGTGCTCTATCCATAAATGCTAATTCATTAAGCTCACTCCTGTTGATGTTAAAATTAAACATGCATGAATTTGCACAGAACCCYGAAGATGGGGGACGCTGTTTCCTGGGGATACATTTATGTAGTTGTTTTATCAGTAATAAATTGATAATAAAATGCTATTTGTGTAAATAGGATCCTATAGTATGCAGTCACTGCCTTGAGGTACACAAGTTTGGTCCAATCATATAGGTGGAAAAATGCTTCGCATTCAATCTCTGACCTCTGAGGTATGTTGCTCTTCATTTTGCAGCACTGTGAGCAAGCTCAACCAGCTTAACAATTGAGCCTCTGGTTCTCATCTTTTACAGGACAAATTTGGAAGCACTGCAGAAGAAGTTAGAAGAACTAGAGTTGGACGAACAGCAACGAAAGCGCCTTGAAGCTTTCCTCACCCAGAAACAAAAAGTGGGCGAGCTGAAGGATGATGACTTTGAGAAGATCAGTGAGCTGGGAGCAGGAAATGGTGGTGTGGTCTTCAAAGTATCTCACAAACCTTCTGGTCTCATAATGGCAAGAAAGGTGAGTGCCTCMAAAACAAGAACTTAAGGTTTTTTAGATGGTTTTCTCTTAGGAAAAAATAAATAAATATATATATAAATTGACAATTTCTATGAATAAGTGATGTTAACAAATAAAGAATACTTAATACCAACTTTCAGGGAAGTTTTTGTGTTTCAAAGTTTAGGAAAGGTTGCACTGACTTATCCTACCTTTCTCACTTTTTCTAAGAACAGCGTTCCATTTGTTAGCAGTGAAAGGATAGGTATCTATTTTGACAAATGCATGTATTTTATATATAGCTGAAAAGGTCATTTTTCAAATAAAAGGTCTGAACATGTAATTGATTCACTAACGAGTACATGTAGAGTAAATTAATAAATGTCRTAGATTAGCAGAAGGTGGCAATATCCTGTGTTCTGAGCCATAGGCTTTGGAGCAAGTGTGGTGTTCRCCCCATCCCCTTCCATTTCTTTAAGATTTCCCTTCACTACTGCAGACCAGAAAAGGGCCTGTATAGATGATACTGAAAGAAATGAAAGCCCCTCACACTTTCAATAAGGGAGTRGTCATACGCGGAGCTCCATGGAAGTGCAGTGCATCTTATCTTTTACRCAGATTCGTTGTGATGTGGACATCACTCCTATATGAAAATATCTATGATTATTTTCTTTGCTTTTATTCCTTACAACCCGTGGCAGTTGTGGCTTACTCTGTAAAATAGATCAGAATATTTAAAATTACCTGTTTGTGAGGAACTTCTTTTTTTCTCCCCCTCCTCAAAAGGAAAAAAAAAAAAAAAAATCCCTGGAAACTAAAATAATAAAGTTGCAGAAATGGGTGTGTGAGACTGCACGGATGTTTTTATTTGGCTACTTTATGCTTCTTTCTCCCAGGAGCAAAGTTCCTTGTGCAAGTAGCATTTCTTACAAGGCAGTGTGTCAAGTTGTACCCCAATGTACTCTAGGGAAGCAGGAACCTGCTCATGCATAGCAAGCAATCTAGCCATTGATAGGAATGAAACGTGTGGCTTATTCATATCGTGATTCCGTTATTACAGAGAACTGAAAACTCAACTTTAATTTCTTTATTGGGAAGTATTTAAAAAAAAAAAAAAAGTACTGACATACTGACTCTCAGTACACTGCTGGCAATTTGGAGAGAGGCATAGAAAAATGCCCACTTTTAAGGGACTAGAATTATAAAATATACACTTTGATGGGATTTGCTTGAACTAAATCAATTTATTTGATYTTTTCATCTACTGCGAGTTTAACAGGAAGTTTTGTCCCAGTTTGTTAATTTTGGATGCAGCTGAGATGCTTGCTGAATGTTGTTTTTTTTATGTAGTGAGTAAAATTTCATTTCCATAATGTCTCATGATCTTCTGTTTTGCCAAAGAAATTGACTTCTTGCTCTGTATGAGGAAACTGTATAGTGAAACAGTGTAATTCATGTAATCTCCCACTCTAGATTTAGAGTCAGTCTGATGTTTTATTATTTGATTATTTATTAAGAGATTCAGTTTAATTCTCTCCTGCAGTGCTTTACAAAAACTGTGGAGATATTTTTTGGCAGCTGTTTCTGAGTCAATATATCCTGTGACACATCTCTCTCAACAATTCATTCATGGATTTTCTTCAACATGAAGAGTTCATTTCTGAACTCCATCCATCAGAAATCTTGGGATAAAGAAAGTGATGGAACAGAAGGTCCTAATGGAGACTTGTTTCATTAAAAAAGATGAAAGTCTCKTATTTGCAGCATGAATAGTATATTTTTATGCTTTAATGAATGTACCTTTCGTTGTTTTGTCAATAATGATTATTGATATGGCATGTTTTAGAAGCTTCAGTTACTTTTACTGATAATCTTGATGATAATCTTGATAATTGACAAATTTTCTTGCAGTAGCCCCTTCCCTCTGCCCTTTATTTTTATATATATATATATATAATGTATATATAATTTGTTACCTTGAAGTTYCTTTTTAGAAAAATTTTGAAGAGGAAAATATCTAGGGCTCATCTGGAATTTGATACTGCTCCTGTAGATTTTTGAACATTGAATTTGCTGTCCTGCAATTTACAAAATTAGAGTCCCAACAGTAAACTTGCACCTTAACTCTGATCTTTGTGTATTTTGCAATTCCATGGAATGCTCTTACTAATTTATTATTACATTAAGAAATATAATGCCTTAAATACTATCACTTAGAATGTCTTTAGTTGTAATAGATTATCCCTTAATGACTGCTGCTCTTTGACATACTTAATCAAAACAGGAATTGAGTCATTTTGGGATGATTCCATAGTGAAGAACAATATCTGGTATTGATGTTATGTTTTTCTAGCCATTTTTAATGGGAAAGTGCTAAACTGGCTTTGGAGACTGTAATGTCTGGACACGGAATAGAGACAGAATGGTTGGATAACTTGAGGAACTTGAATTGCTTTGTGCAATACTGTCTATTTTGGGGATAACTTCTGCTTCACTTTTTTTGTTCTATATCTAGTATCTTTCATGGATGTTGATGATTTCCACTTCCTCATGCCATATCATAGAGTTTCTCCTTTCTGAAAGKCCGCTAACCAAATAAGAATGGATAATTACCCGATAATTCACTGGTTCGTAGAAAAATTCAGACTAGAAAGGACCTCAGAGGATTTTAGAGCCAAACCTTCTGTTCAAAGTAGAACCAGCTGTGAGAGTCGGGCTACACAATGTTTTTTCCAGATGGGTCTGAAAAGCTGGGTTGGAGACCACAAAACCTATTTGGCAACCTGTTCCTTCTGAAAGGCCTTTTGCCACTAGGAAARTAATAACAATGGATTATTTTACAGTTAATTCATCTAGAGATCAAGCCAGCTATTCGAAACCAGATCATTCGTGAACTGCAGGTTCTACATGAGTGCAACTCTCCATATATAGTAGGTTTTTATGGAGCCTTTTACAGTGATGGAGAAATCAGCATTTGCATGGAACATATGGTAAGTAGATGTATATTTGTTTTAGATTGAAATTAGTAATGGRCTATTAACATAAAACCCAATTGTCAACAGAACTTGAGATAACGTGGTAGAGCTTTCTGCATGAATAAAGAATCATTCACTGTGTTTCAGACTTACTTCTTAAATCTCGGTTTGGGATAGACAAGTGTTTTGTTTTTTTTTTTTTACGCCATTCTTCAGGGTTTCTGCCTCCGTTGAATCACTATGTGCATCCCAAATATCTTTTAACTGTTTTAACTGTGTTTTTAGTTGCTTTATATAAAATATTGACATAATTCTGCTACTTACAGAGCTGATCTAATTTGGTGTTGATCTTGGTTTTTTATGCAGTATTAAAAGCATGTGATCCATACTGACTTATTGGTGGTATAGCTGTGCAGTCCCTGCTAGCTATGACAGTCAGAAACTATTTTGTTCTGATTCAGGTTAATCCGTAGTTTGTCTTTTTCTTCAAATCTTACAAAAGATATAAAGAATAGTGTGTAGCAATTGAGGAAGACCAGACGCTTATACACCTTTTTTTTTGTAAAGCCAAAAAACTTTTAACTGTGTTTCATTTTGCTAGAAAAGTACATATTCTTCTAGACATCTGTTTGCCTTTCATTAACCATATGGAGCCAAACATTAAAAGCAAATTTTCTGGGAGGGAAGGTCAGTCTTTTTTTTTTTTTTTTTTTTTTTTTGCGCTTGGTTGCCAAGTAGAGGAAGTTTTTTAACAATCTGAAATACAATTTTTTTTGACAATACCATGTCTTTGAAGGGAAACCTTATTTTTTTTCTAGAAAGTACATGCGGCTGTTTTTAATGCTTCTCTGGTCTTCTCTTACAGAAATTTTTAGAATTTGATGGTTGCCTAGAAACAAGTGATCATGATCCAGCTTTTAAATATGTGCTAGCAGAATAGAAAGTGTGCATACTGCTAAAGTGCAGATAACTACTGGAAATTATAAAGAAGTTAGTTTCTCAAAATTGGAAACAGTCATGAAAAATAAGAAAATACACATTAAAAATGGTCKTCTGGAAATTGTTCAGGGTTGTGTTGTTTTATACAACACTTACACAACTTTATATAAGTTGTATTTTTGTGAGCAGTTGCTGGATGTTTGTTTGGAGATGTGGCTGTGATGTATAATTAAGTGTATAAGTAAAAAGGATAAGGAATTGCATCTGTTATCAAAGAAAAGTAACAGGACATCGTGGCCAACGTTCCTAATGAGGGTGTGATCTATCTGGCAGGAAGCTTCTCAGRTTGAAAGAAGGCAGGATGAAATCAAGTGTTTTAATGCCAAATTTAGACAATGTCAAACCAGATTAAAAAATAATAATTAAAAAAAAAATCCAGAGAACAACTGATCAGCAAGATGTGAAATTGAAAGAGAAGGTGGATTATTTCAACTGATATCTACAGTCTGTGGCTTCATCCCAATTTAGAACCTTAAAATGCAGACTTAAAGTAGATCACTGGATGAAAAGTTTCTGACCCTTTTTTAGATTGATGATTAGGTGAGAGTATTTCTGTTGTCAGTTTTAAATAGAATAGGCTATAAACAAAATAGACTATATATTTTAATTTCTATCCTTTTTGTTAGCCTTTTTGTTTCAGTTGGTGCCAGTTGTAATATTTTTTTTTAGTTTAAAAATGTGAGTTTGGGTGTTGGAATCTCTGCCTTCTCCACCTCCAGCATTTTGCTCATAYTCAAATATCCTTGACTTCCATGTGCCTAAAACTGTTAAGGTCAGTGTGTATCCTCACTTGTCAAAAGGTATTTGACAGGCAAAAAGATTGGAGTCTGCTCCAGAAAGGTCCTGGAGGTTAAAGCCGGCACTACTCAGCACTGGAGTTGTTCAGCTAGTTGTTCAGCTTAGGGTAAGGTCAGAGCTAGCATTCGGGGGAAAATGTAGAGTTTTTTTTGTTTTTGTTCCCCCCCCGCCTCCAGACTGGCATCGCTGTTAAACTACTGATGCCTCAGCAAGGACAGTTGTCCAGAAATGCAGACTCCAGGCAAAGCCAAAATGCTATATTGTAAGATCAGAGTGTATCCCTGCATATACAAGATATTTTGTGTGTTTTCTATGGTGCATTTTTGATCGTATTTCATTTTGTTACAAAAAATATAAATGCTACTTTGAGCTCTTTTTCTGCTTTCCCTCTGATAAGAATTTAGATGCAGTCCATTCCTGGAAGAATAATAACCTGTATTCTTGCTTTCCTCTTTACATAAATAGATAACAAGGAAAGTGACAAAAGGGTAGGTGAAGGCAGAAAGAAATTGCTTACTGAAATTGGACTGCTCTGTCCTGAGAGGTGTCAAATGACATTCTCGATCACTGGATATTGCTTTTAATTTTAGAAGTAACACTTTAATTCCTTTTTGGATTGTATATCCAAAAAGAATCCACACAAGCCTCTTGTTGAACCAATTTCTAAAAATACTCAGCACTTCAAGTTTTCCTTCTCAGAAGCCCTTAGCAACTTTGAAATGTATTAGAAGTTGATGGGGGTGCATTTACATGCATTCAAATCACTTAACCAAATGAAATTAGTGAGATTGTTGCTTGCCATGAAACTTTAGAAACATTTCTTCCTATTTTGGCCTTCTCGAGAGCCTTGCTGAATCATCCCATTGGCCTTGGAAGCTGACAGTCATCCTGCATCTGCAGAACTCTGYGTAGTGCCTGTCCAGAGGGATAAGGCAGGAGGGAGCTGGGTTTGGCTGTGTCCATGGGCTGCTACTAGCACACGCTGTATTTAGCAGCAGAACTCTGTATTCCATTGTGATAAATGATTCTCAGTGTTGTGATCAGAATTGTAAGACCTTCTGTGCTGCTTCAGTCTCCCTCATTCAGTAGCGTGGAGGTGAGTTTCATGCAATGGGCATGCCAATGTTATATGTTGTTGTGATGTACTGAAAAGTACAGAAATCTCTTAAATTCCTAATGCTTGGTCAAAAAATATTTGTGAGCCTTCCTTAACAACAGCCAAGCTGCGGAAATACTGGTRCAGCAGATCATTGTGGGATTGTGGATGTGGTTACTAGCCAAATGCTTATTTAAAGTAAATGCATAGCTGACTAATTCCTCCTCTTGAATGTTTTCTGATATGCACCATCACTATATTAAACCAAATTTTAACAGCACCGTTTTTTCGTTATTGAATATATACTGTACATTAGAGATCTGTTTAAAATCCTTTAGGTGAGTTTGCTTATACTTTGACTCTTTGTATGCTTAATAGGATGGTGGCTCCTTGGACCAAGTACTGAAAAAGGCTGGCAGAATTCCCGAGCAGATATTGGGCAAAGTTAGCATTGCGGTAAGCTTGCTGCTCTCAGAGGCTGGAAGTGGGTAGTTGATCTTGGCATGTTAAAACGAAGATACAGGAAACAACTAGTTGGGAAGTGGAAGATGTGGGCTGAATAGGTAATAGTGGACTTTTAGATGTGGGACTTCCTCTTTAAAAAGTGTCCCTGTATGTGTCATTAATTTGGTAGCTGGAATGAGTAACATGCATTCCATTGTTTGCTTTGATTTCCTGCTCTTGTGTTCTGCTGATGCTTCTGGATAAGAACAGAATCAAGAAAATGGTTTATTTTTATTAAAAAAGGTCAATATTATGTTTTACATTAAAACATATCTATAATGAAACAAATTATGTGTACAGATGTGGAACTACTGGAGAGTGTCCAGCGCAGGGCTAAAAGAGGGACAGCGGCCTGGAACATCTGCCCTATGAGGAAAGGCTGAGAGAGCTGGGCCTGTTCAGCCTGTAGGAGTTTTTGTGTTTTAAGGACTTAATAAGGTAGAGATTAGCGAAAGTAGATGATATAGTGTAGCATAGGGCATAGAGCACAGGGCATGGCGTTCAGAAGATCTCACGATGTCATGGGAATTAGGTGCATAATTAATTTAGGCAGTTTACTGATAACCCCATGTCATACAAGGCGAAAATTTGAAATTAGTGTCCCGATAGGGCAGTAGGTGAGTTCACGCATTTCAAATGGAGTATTTAGGCAAGCTGAACTACACAATAAATGCCATTTGCTGCATCCTCCTCCACATTGGTGTCAGTGCGCTATGGCCCTGGGGCACAAATAAGCCCAGGTCAGTCCAGCCAGCGAACGAGGCTTGCCGCCCCCATTTGGCAACAGCCTGCAGTAAAAAAGGCTAAGGGGGGACCTGATCAGTGTCTATAAATATCTCAGGAGGGAGTGAGGAGGAGGGGCTGGCTTCTTTTCAGTGGTGGCCACTGAGAGAGCTAGAGGAAACAGCCACAAACTGAAGCACCARAAGTCCCACAGGAACTTAAGGAAAAATTTCTTGACAGTAAGGGTGACAGAGCCCTGGAAGAGGCTGCTCAGAGAGGTGATGGAGTCTCCATCTCTGGGCATCTTCAAAACCTCTTGGATGCAGCCCTGTGCCACATGCTCTCGGTGACCCTGCATGTGCAGGGGASGTTGGACTAGAGGATCTCTGAAGGTCCTTTCCAACCTTAATGATCCTATGAAAATTTCCAGTAATTTGGGGTTTTTTGTTTCTCTTTTTAAGTATGAGTTGGAGGCAAATGTTTAAACAGAATATTAGAGAGAATTATGTTTTKGGATTAATGTTCTGTGTTGTATTCATAGCTACATCTTGAAATTCTTGCACAAAGAAGTATGATCTGTTGTTTCACAAACTTTTTTTTTATAGGTGATAAAAGGACTCACATATCTGAGAGAAAAGCACAAGATAATGCATAGAGGTGAGGATTTGATGTTATATATTCTTTCACATTGCTTTTACTCAACTTAAAATGCATTTTTTTTGTATTTTGTYTTTTTCTGCTTCAACATAATTCTAATTTGGAGAGCTATTTTATGAAATGTTATGCTGGTTTTGTTCTCTAAATCTCTAGTAAGGCCATCAAATACCTTTGTGTTGTGTTACCTGTCTGCAGTTTGTGTGGGTTGTCTCCCACCCCTAAATGCAGTATCCTCTTGTTATATGCACACACAGACCACCTCTGTGTGGTTGTGCTGGCTGGCTGCTGGGATGGCTTCTTGGGTTGGGGGTGGGTGTTAGAGCTGGGGCTGTAACTTGGGACACGCCTGCAATGAAAACGGTCCTTCGCTAAAGACCGCAGTCGTACAACCTCTGTTTCCCTTTCAGTAACACTTAAGTTGCCCTCCAGTTTCTAGAGGAAATACCTGTTTTTGTGTTGAAAAATATTTACCTTTCTAGGTGAACATGGGTGGATGCAGAAACAGGCTGCAATTCTGCAGAGTGCTGCACTCTCAGATGCTCTTGTATATTTCTACCTGCAGTGGCACTTGGGCCCAGTGAAACCTTTCTCTAGGGTAGCTGCAGTGAAGACTTTCCCCTGCGTGGTTTATTTGTGGCAGCATCTTTGTTTGAATATCAGCAGCTTGAGTATGGAGGGAAACTCTTCACGTAGCTTCTGTGTCCATAGTCAGTTAAGGGAGAATATAAACCAGTCACAATAAGATAACTCGGATTTTATTTAATTACGTAACTGATAGGGGTTTTTTTCACAAAGGAAGAGACTATATTAAAAAAGCTTTGCTCTGCAGTATCATGACTTCTTCACTGCAACTACTTGTTCTTTGGTAGCTCTACTAAGTATAACTAAGAAAAAAATCTTAATCAAAATCTCTAATCTAAAATAAGTTCAAGAATTCAGGATTCATTGTTGCCAATAAAGTGGCTTTAAAATCAAGTCAGTACTTTTTACCCACTGTATCAAGTTCACATGCTATTTTTAGACATCTACCATGCAGAATTGAGTCTCTTTATAATGAAAGGTATTTAAAAAATGTGGATTTTGAAGTTATGTAAAAGGAATGTGTCATTTCTGACATCTGCTGTAGTCTTTAGACTTTACTGTAAAATAAATGTGTGTTATTTCCAGCATCTTTTGCTGTTGCCCTCTTTTCAACCCAGCTGTTTCATTAAGCTACTGCATGTTCTGTAAAAACAAAAATGACACATGATCTGGTAAAGTAATAAATTCAGTCATCCCTGACATCGGTGTAAACTGATGACTGGAATTTGAGCATTTCATATTTTTGTTTGAGTGGCAGTGTTTATTGTGGTGATCCTGCAATATGTATAAACTATGCCAACTGTTCAGTAATTCTCATACCATATGAGACCAATCTTCAGATCATGAAAATATGTTCATCAGAGGAGTCACTCGATATGCATCTGAATTTACATTTGCTAGCCAGACCGTAGAAAAGAGTAACTGGCAATCCGAGTTTGTACAATCCGTTGTAGGATCAGTTAGCTCACRTGGCAGACAGACAGGGATTCCTCTTGTATGTTGGTTGTAAAGTTACTAGCTTGGATGCACCTTGCAGCATGGAATTCTTTGCACAAGTTGGGCAAGTTTGAGCTTTGTTTTGGTACCGTGCATGCTGGCAGGGTGAGGAGTGCATGGGCTCATACATGTTTTATAGAAAATTCATTGTCGGGTCTGGTACAATGGGGCCTGAACTGACATTTTGAAAGTTGCTCATAATTAGGGCTACTACAAGCCTTAAGTGCAGATAAGAGAAAAATCAATTGGATGTTTTCATCTTTTGACATATGAACTGAAACTTACTGTCTCTCCTGTGTCCCTTACTGTCCAGGTCTGCTTCCCCAGTCCCCTTTCTGCCCTATTTGTGGAGCCCGTAAATAAGCTTGTGCACTAATCTGATCCGTTACAGCTTGTCGACCTAGTTCGAGGTTCCTGCTTCTGTTTCTTGCTAAGCATGGTGCTCTCCTGCAGTGAGCTTCTCTTCTGGAGTTGGTTCATGCCCAGCTATATATTGACTGCACTGTTGTATGGTACCTCCAGAATAAGGAGAGAATGGTACTGAAGGGGGGGGGGGAAGCAATACACTAAAAATATGTATTTCTGACTCTTCGTAGAGTCAGACTGTGTCAGTAGGGTTTAGTGCTCTTGAACATGCTTAGATAATACATGTCTAAATGTTAAAGTTGTATTTGAGGTGCAAGAATATGTTGTAAATGTACTGATCTATCTGCTGTCTGTTTTAGGTGCTCAGCATTTGTTGTTAGAACATAGAATCGTGAAAATAAGCAATTCCCCTTTTCTTTCTAAAGCCTCTTTTGGAAGTACTTATCACACAAAAATTAAATCTTTTACTTTCTGGATTGATGACACTACCTAAAAAAGCCAAGCTTATTGCAGACGTGGCTCTAGCTTGATTAAGTATAGCAGTATGTTATATGGGGAAAGCCCTTCCTGAGCAGGTGGAGATTTTTCTTTTCCAGCCTGCCTCTTTCTGGAATCCCAGTTGAAAAAAATACTGCTAGTAAAAGACTGTTTCTGCTGGTATAACTGGGCTTGCACTATTTTGGTAGCACGGCTGTAATAATTGGAGATCTATCTTAGTTTCTTTAATCCCTATAGCTTGTCCTTAATGCCTGTAGTACTGTGSTGACACGGTGTTACTGACACCTAACATGTATTGTTTGTTCTCACTCATCCTGTCCCCAGGGGAAAAATCTGTGCAAGTGGCACACTCGGTGTTGTAAGCTCTTTGTTTTCTGTTGCGAGGTGAGTTAAAATAAATAGACACATTCACATAGCAACAGAAGGCCAAAAAATGCATCTTTTTCTATCTAAAGATAGCAAGGTTAGCGATAACTCCATTTTCGGTGGTGAATTTATTCTATCGCTGTGTTTTATTACTTGTATCTGACACCGCAATACCTGAGAAGCTTGTAGCCCTGGCTACTGAGCTCCCCATGGAAAGCAGATGTAGGCAGTTGCTGTAAAGCATGTTTTCATACTAAGATGCAAAATGAGAAATTGTATCTTGGATGTGAACCTGCTTCACAAAGAAAGAGCTGTATTGTCTGTCCAGCAGATGAGTGCTGAGCACTTTTCTTTTTTAATGGAATGAATGGAATGTAAGATTGTAAAATACAGCTTTCAGGGTGGAGAGAAAGGGAGGAAAAAAAAAGAAAGCTTTTGTGTATGAGATCCCCCCTTTGAAACTCATTTTGATTTGATTTGACTTTTTGTGACTTGAGCGGCGAAGGGCCACATGTTGGTGTGACTGGTTAATGCAGCAGACACGTCAGCATTATTGCTGGGCGGGAAAACACAGGACTCAGTGTTACCCTAGGGGGAAAAAATCACAAGAGTATCTTCCAGCGTAGGGATTTTGTTAAGGGCCCTTGTGTAATGCTTTGGAGAAACTAGCACGCAGATCTTAAACTCCTTACGCACACAAATGTGCCCTGAACTGACTGTGACCTCTGAGCAGAAGGGTTGGAATGCCCTTGCAGCCGGCCCACGGAAAAACTGCTGGGGTTAAGGAAGGGATGGAAACCACAGTCTTTTTATAGAGTGCTAGCTCATGGGGACGACTGCTTCGGTTGGTTTCTCGCTGAAAAGATGTGACAGAAATAGCAGAAGTTCTGGGCATGTTTTTGTATCCTGCCAATTTGTCTTTCAGGAAAGCATTGGGCAAGGAGGATGTCTATCATAAATATGTTCATAATACCTCTATTTGACAGCAAAGAGACTATTTGTCATAGTGAATGGTATAGAAAATAACCCAGTAGGAGCATTTACCTTTGTGGGTAATACCAGAGGGCACCAAATAGCAAGGAAAAGAAATTTCTTTCAATTGCTTAAAAAGTATGAAGTAGAGTATTTTGTGTGTGTGTGTGTTAGTGCTGTTTGGATGACTAAAGGGAGCATGCTACAAGGTAGATGTTGTCATATGTTTGACTTTCATTCAGTTACCTGCCTGAAGATGTCGGGGTAATAGCCAGGGCTGTCATTATTTTAAGTGCTTGGTAGCTGTAGCCTGAGCAGCGCTCAGGCATGTGTCCTGCAGAGGGTACCTGGCCTGATGGCTGCTTCGTGTTAACGAGCTCCTTTTTCAGTGTCGTGTCAGTCCCTCTGTAGGACTGGCTAAGGACTCACTCTGAGAAGTTCATGGTTCTGTTCTGGCTTGTCTGGAGTGACATATGAAATGCGCTTTCATTTTTAAGTACAGTGCTTCAACAGCATGCTTGTTTTTCCTTTCTAGATTTCTCCTTTTCTTGCAGGTTGGAACATACATTTTAAAGCACGCTTTGACGTTCATGTTCCATTTGGCAATAGAGATCTTTGGTTTCCAGAGAAACTGCTTAAGTGCTCAGACGCTGGAGCTAAAATAGCACTGCCTGCTCTGAGCTGAGTGCTGCAGGCTCGCTGGGGTGTAGCTGAACCTGCGGGAACTGGTGTACGCAAAGTGCCTGGAAACACTCTTTTCAGTGCCTGGGCAAATTCAGTTTCCTGTTTTGGAAAGATCATCTTAGAAATCAAGTGGTGTAGACTGAATTTCTGAAAGCAAATACTTTTATCTTTTTGATAAAGGCTTTTGTTTTATATCGGTGGGAGGAGTGGGCAGGGTAGGACATGACCAACCTCCTAGTTTCCAGGCTCCACAGATCCCCTTTCAGTGGGGCAAAAGCTTCTGCATGGAGAGCTTGTCTTGTGATGTGACATTAATATCACTTTTCCAGTGACATCCTGTGGAAGTCATGAACTTGTCTGAGTTCCTCAGTCACTGAAACACAAGATACCTGGAGYGCGTCTTACGTATTTTAAAGGCAAAATGATAAGAAATGCACCAGACTGCAGCTTTCTGGATCTGCTCTTGAGTAGCAGCAATCTAAAATGAAATTGTGTTTCAAGTYTGTTTATTTGTCTGTCTTGAGTTAAAGTATCCAGTTTCCCGAGAGCTACTTCAAGCTTTGCCTTGTTTGTCCATTTTTAGCCACTTCCCTAGCCTTTTTTTTAATCTCGGTGTATTCCAACTGCTTGCATAATGCATGGCATGTCTTGTATTTTAACTGATTAATACTAAATGTTCCCRCGCAGGTATCCCTTCTCCCTCCCTCTGATTAGATTGCACTGATTTGAGTGAGGTTAATCAAACTAACAAATCACATCAGTGTGGTCAGYCATCCTCGGTCAAGTGGGGATTCTGATTAAACTGCACTGGGTGCTATAAATGGGCTTTGAAGAAAGTGATTGTTTTATTAATCTGTGACATTACTTTGCGAATGTCAGCTGTTTGGTTAGCTTGATAATGCACTGGTAGCAATGAGGTAAGCAGTGTAAATTGTATTTAAAAAAAAAAAAAAAAACTTAAAAATACCGAAGAACTGTTCTCATTATCTCTGCATTCATAAATAGCTGTTATTAGTTGCCTAGCTACCAGTGACCCTCATTAAGTTTCCATTTAGATTAAGTGCTGAGTTTAAAATCACAGATTGGCTCTATCGCAGGTAAACAGCCTCCAAGTATTTTAAATGCTGCATTTCAACAGTGGGATTTTTTTTATAACAAAAAGCATTTTCCAAGAATTGTCTTGCTACAGGGTGATTTATGTGTATGTGCATACAAATTTTCAGGAAGGGATGATGATGGTTTGGCTTTCTTAATTTATTCAATTTTTGGAATTAAATATATAGACTTCCTTTATCTATTTCAGACAAAAGAACATTATTAAAAAGAAGTTAAGCTTGAAAGCACATGTCAGATATTTTGAATATTAGTTATTACAGTGAGTCTTTAGATGCTCAAACCGAACATTTGAAAGCTAAGAAAATGAGTGAAATTCAGTCTTAAAACTAACATTATTTTAGCATTTGTATTTCAAAAGTTTGTCTTCCTTTTGGAGATATAAAGAGAGCCTGTGAAATGGAGCTGGGTAGGGAACCAAATCTCAGGAGTGTTCCCAGAGCAGGACTGAGAATTGTGTTTTAGCTGAAAGGAGAACAAAGGGAGACACATGGTAATTTTCACCTTTCATGTTACTTTCGTTGTCAAATTTTCCATTTTATAGATTATAAAAATAAATCATCCATTCATTTTTTTTTCCAGATGTTAAACCATCTAACATTTTGGTAAACTCTAGAGGTGAAATCAAGCTTTGTGATTTTGGTGTCAGTGGACAACTGATAGATTCTATGGCAAACTCGTTTGTTGGCACACGCTCCTACATGTCTGTAAGTATAGATTTTATAGCTTTTGAGTTTACTATACATTATGGTGTATAGTTATTAAGTGATTTCCAGCCTTTAAACAAGAAACAAACTGGTCATTGCTGCTGTGCATATTTTCTACTTCAGCACCTTCTGTATTCCAGAAATATTCCAGAACGATATCAAATTGGCATGGTGGTGATGGGAACTGTTGCAACAAAAGCAACTTGAAATATTTTGTAATGTTACAGAAGCGATGCAGTTGCAACTACATTGCAAAATCCAGTTGGTTAATGTGTTTGGGCTTTGTGTACATGCGTCTCCAAAAATCCCACCACTTGTAGCTTGTTCTCCTTAAGTCTTTTCTTCTCTTTCCAGCCCAGCACTGCTGCAGTCACTCACATGGGCAAACTGCTGCCTCGGCAGTGGTTCTCTTGGGGCCCCAACTGGTCAAGGCACCAGGAGAAATCATGGGAGTGGCCAGTGTCAACACGGCTGCTGTAGCTCATTTGAGCTTTACTGAGCGCTCCGTGTTCCTGTACATGAGGAATACTTTGAAACTTCCCCTTCAGAGGAACTCTCTGTATTATACAAAAGTCAGGGTTAATAGAAATGCAAATCTCTTTTCTAAAGGTTTTTATCAGTTCAACATACAATCTATTAACTCATCAGAGTATTCGGAGATTTGTCTGTAGGACTAAAACTGTGTGGGCTTAAACTTCAAGTAAAAAGCCTAATGCTGCTTCTGCTCAGCATGGGACCTGCTGTTAACATCAAAGATGCAGTCTTCTTTTTGCCATTTAATAGTGGTAACATACTTGAACTGAAACAGTGACTTTTGTTCCCACATACATTTAGGGGCTGTTACTAATTCACAGGAGGGAAAAAATCATGCTTTGTCCTCTAGGCCTTTGGCACACAACTGTCCTCTTTTTCTTTTCTGCAGAAGTAGAGCAAAGTGCTCACTACCTTCTATTTCCATGAATTTAGTATTTTCACCGGTTGAGACTTAGCTTTGCTAAGCCTGTTACAGACCAAGCCATSATGGTGATTTTATTTATTCTTTTTGAGAGTGACTGAGAAACATTTTGGTTAGCTTCTCCTCTAGTAAACTTTTTGAAATCACAACTAGAGAATTGTTATGGATCAAACATCATATCCTGCCATATGAAAGTCTATACAATCAGTGACACTTAAAGATGTGTTCTGGCTTTTAGCTGCTGCATTTGTACTAGTACTATGTGTGTGTTCTGCTATTTCTCATGCACTCATTTCTAATTCATATCTGATGAAAGTTTACTGTCTTCCTTCCTTTTTGTTCAGCAATCTGTTGTCCAGCAATCATGTAGTTTATCCGGTGTCCCATCTGAGCTAATTCCAAAACTGGAGGAGGATTAAGTATGACCTCAGTAAATTAATTAATTTAACAGAATAATTACCTTTTATAGCAGGATGAAGAGATTTTGCAGTAGTACCTCATACTTATATTCTGTACATTTGTAAAATGTGAGCTTTTTTAAAAAGTAGGAGAATAGGGGGAATGGCAGGAAAACRCAATAAACATTGTCCCTCCTTCTGTTTGCACTTCGACTTCTCAAAATATTAAAAACTGCAAAAAGAATCTTCAGTATTTGACATGAAACTGATAAAGCAACTGCAAAAACTAAGCAAAGGGAGTTCAGGACTAATCTTCTGTTTCAGATCATCTATTACCCAGTAAAGATGGGCAAGCTGTGCAAACCTCAGGGTCTTCAGAGCAAGGTGGTTGGGATRTCCCAATATGGCTCTAGGGATGGCTTAACTGATATCAGCCCCCCCCCTCCCCCCAAGAAGTTCTATCAGTATTTCTCCAGTGTCCAAGTCTCTCAAAACTAATAAAGAGTGTTAGCTGAACCTGTTGTCTAGCATACACTTTCATAATGCTTAGACTGGCATGTGTATACAGTCTATCCTGAATTTAATTTTTGTCCCTTTTTTTTTTTCCAACAGAAATCTAATACCTCTAGTCAGCCCGTGATGTGTTGTTAAGCAATGCAAAGCTTAGATGGACAAATCTTTCCTCCAGGAAAGCTCTGTGCGCTTCATAATATATTTTTATTCAATTTGTATGTTGCATTTTACTATTGCTACAGTGATCTGGATGCTAGATTTAGTTAAAACAAAAAAAAAAAAAGACAAAATTATAGCCTCCTCCTAACTTTTGAAGCTTTTTATTTGCAGTGATTATCTGAAGTGTCTATGGAAATTCTGCAAGGAAAGATAACCATYACTTGCTGGAACATGTCATACTAACAAGTTTGTTTTTTATCATTTTATTATTCACTCTCCAGGCTATTGTTGAATGTGATTTTTATTTGACTTTCTTGCTAACACTGTTCTGCTTTCTCATTTCTCTCCTCACTTTTTTTTTTTGTGTATATAGCCGGAAAGACTACAGGGGACTCACTATTCAGTGCAGTCGGATATCTGGAGCATGGGACTGTCGCTGGTAGAAATGGCTATTGGCAGATACCCAATTCCTCCTCCAGACTCCAAGGAGCTTGAGTTAATGTTTGGCTGTCCTGTCGAGGGAGATTCTCCAGTCACGGAGACCTCACCCAGGCAAAGAACACCCGGCCGACCAGTGAGCTGTAAGTTGCAACATGGGAAGCAAGTCAAACTAGCAGAGTGAGTGAAGGGAGCCTTATTGAGCCTCTGTCTGTACCACTAAAACACCTCTGCAGTGTCTAAAAATATCTGAAACCAAGCAGAGGTTTCCGGAGGTAAGATATAAAATCTGCTAAGGTTCTTTTCAATTTACCTATCTGTCTGCATGGAGTCATTASTGGCTTGGTGTTGATCTGAAAATCTGTCTTTAAGCTCTGAGGGGGTAAAAAAACAGGATATTCTCAGGCTAAGTCTCACTATGAGGAGCTATATTAGAGTTGAAAAATCGGAGAACAGACATCCCTTCATAAATCTTCATGAGCACCATTGCAATGTATCAGTGCAGTTCCTCCTCTTAACATGCGATTTTTCTTAAAATGTAGTGGGAAGATTTCCAGTGAAACTAGTGGTTTGCATCMGACTTGGAAAAAAATAGTTTCTCGCTGCATATATGTAGTGCTCTATCGCTGTTCTATTTGTTTCTCATAAAACTCCTGCCTGTTTAGCAAAGCCATCTATAAGAAACAAGTATATGACTGTTAGCTTCTTAGGATACCTGTAGCACAGGAGCAGAATAACGCTTTTTTATKTAACTTCTTTTCAGCCTATGGACCAGACAGCAGACCCCCAATGGCCATATTTGAACTTCTTGATTACATCGTCAATGAGGTAACCAGCTATTTGTACCTGCACAAATTCATTTTTTAAGTGGTCCAGAAAGCATTTGCAATCTAAGATGAGGCATTCTAAGTACCRTATGGGCAAATAAGTGAGTAAAAGGAACTGGTAGTTTCAGTCAGGATGGTAAGTGATGGCTACAGCTTACCGCTGCTTCCTAATGGCCAGGAGTTTTTGTAGTGATTACGAAAGCATTTCAATAAGTGATCTGAAGAATAATGGTGGAGACAGCCCCATCTAGGATACTACTCTGCCAGACTGCAGCTTCCCTCAATGGAGAGTGAATCTCACTTATCTGAGCAGTAGTAAGCACTGTTTCTGTTTTTAATTACAGGGTTAGACGAGCATCTGTTGTGGTTACATTACATAGTACCTGGAATTCCAGCAAACTGCCTAAGCCCTCAGTGGGCTTTGCTTGTCTGTGAGCTCACAGTTATGGACAGGAGTTTGTCCTGTGCACAGGCACATCTGGACATGTGCTGTGGACAAAAGTGACAAGTACCTTCTCAAGCGCAGAAAGAATGGGGGGGACCATGCACTACAAATGGCTTCTGTGCCAGTTACTGCTGATGCACCTAGAAATCCAGCAGTTCTAAAAATCTTAACCAAAATTAGCCATTAGGAAAACTCAGCACCTGTACTCTTTTGAGTCATGAGACAGTGCATCCTTTTTTCAAGTGCATCTTGAATGCTGAAGTCTGCCTGGGTATTTTGGGGAGAGTTCTGCTTTGAAAGACAGTGTGGTAATGTTAGGGTTGCATTCTTCAGCTTTATGGCTTTGACCAGAGATGAGGCATAATTGGTAGGTCCCCAGGCAGGTTGTGTAGCATCACATATTCTGCTTTAGAAGACTGATCTTTGTTCTTMCTGTTTTGTTTGTTTTCAGCCACCTCCCAAACTGCCCAATGGTGTCTTTGGTTCTGAATTTCAAGATTTTGTTAACAAATGGTGAGTATTTTCTCTACTGCTGAATTCTGAAGGGACACWTTAGGGGTGAGCTTGTTGTGTCAGTAAGTTGAGAAGCAGGGACTTGCACTGTTTTGTACCTTGGGTTAAATGTGAAGTAGTTCCAGTTAGCTCCGTTCTCCAACTGTTAACATTGTTTACAGCCCCTTTTGCAGGCATCAGCTGGACAGTACATTCAGACATGCTCAACTCTTAAAATATGATCTCTGCTTCTAGATGTGATTATGGGCAAATGCATCTCAGATTAATACGTTTTCAGCAGCTGAGGGCACAGTGCTTACATGGGGGATCTTTCAAAGCAGTGCTCTGCAGGAGGCTTTCCAAGCACTGCACAAGTCTTGCAGGATCCAGATGCATTTTTTCTCCTGCTAGTGCTCTGCTGAGCTAACATCTCTGTGGCACTCTTCCATCTGCACRTACTTGCTCTACATTCTGCCAATTGCACTTCAGTGATACAGAACATGAACTCTTGCAGTGCCCCTGGATGGCATTAAACCTGAACTGCACCAAATTTGTTTGTTCACTGCTATGGGAGGTAGTTCATTACACATTAAAAAGTTACTTCGCTTACTACAACGTAGATATATATTTACTGTTTCCAAAAGAAAAGGAACGGTAACATAACAGACCTGGTTCATAACTAAACTTGGAAAGGTTGGGTAAAGAAACATAAGGGATAAAATGAWTCATGTGTTAAGTTTTGGTTTAAGTGGGAATTTGATCTCTTCAGCTTGGTTCTGGACATTCATTTGTGACCCCCTTGAGCAAGATCAGATGGATCAGGATTTTATAGCTAAAACTGCATGTGTGAATACCATGAAARGGAACTGCTCATGCGTGAATACCATGAAAGGGAACTGCTCATGCATCTAGATCTAAATTTCATAAGTGCTGTGTTATTTAATACTTTCGTCTGGAGTGCAGCTTTCTCATGAGCCAAATAATATACCCAGATTTTAAAAGATACTAAGATGTAACTTGTTTAACTCTTTCTGTTTTCTTAGTTTAATTAAAAATCCTGCTGAGAGGGCAGATTTAAAGCAGCTGATGGTAAGTGAAAGTTATTCATCTTGTTTGAATTAAGTACTTAGATGCAGGTTGGGTTTTTCAGCTGACCCGAGCAAGGAAATTAAAACAGGAGAGATTAGGATCAGARCGTGTGGCCTAGCGTGTGGAGTTCATGGCCCCTAGTATGAACAATTCAAACAGCTTGAAGGGGGCTGCTTCCCTCATTGGAGGCTGAGGGGCAGAAAAGAGCTTGGAAGGCAGGACAGAAGGAAGAACCACATCCAGTTTTCCAGTGATGCAGAATCCCCAGGGGCTGCTAAAGCAGTTGTGTGATTGTTTGGCAGCAGGGCATATGCAGTGACAGGACTAGGGACTTAGTGACCAAAGCTGGTGTTTTTGCAGTCTGCTGCTTGATAACAGCCATGATTATATGACCCAACACAATGATTACTTAAATAAGAATATCATATACTTCAGTAGTTCGTAATACAATATATAGGTTATTTTTACAAGGAAGAGAACMGAATTCCATGCTGTATAGACTAGTTAATCTTTTTATCAACTCTTTTTCTGCAAAATGCAAAACTTTTCCTTCCTTCGTTCCTCCATCAACCTCATCTTATAAAATCTGTTGAGCTAGTAAGCAGCACAAACAAATCCTATGTGATTGGTTTCTGGGAACCTTTTCATGGCCTTAAGGTGGAACTTGAACCGGAGAGAGAGAGAGAGAGAGAGAGAGAGAGAGAGAGAGAGAGAGAGAGAGAGAGAGAGAGAGAGAGAGAGAGAGAAAAAAAAAAAAAAACTGTATATGAAAGCACAGTCATACGTTTTACAAAGTACTTTCTTTATCTGAGTCATCTCTTCATTGCACACCGTGGTGTTAGTGCTCTGTAACAATATGTAGGAGGAGTTCCTCTGGAATATTATTTTGCAATATGTGCATTTCAACTGGCTACTGAAATCATGCAGAAAAAATCTACTGGTCAGTTCAAGATAAGTATATTATTTTGCAAACCATGTGTTTCTATAAACTAGATTATTATAATTCATGTTATTCAATTATTAATTTACTAATTTTGTAGTCCTGGCTGTTTGATTTAAATATATTTTTTTTCCTCTGCTTAGATTCATGCTTTTATTAAGAGATCTGAAGCGGAGGAGGTGGATTTTGCAGGATGGCTCTGTTCAACCATAGGCCTTAACCAACCAAGTACACCCACGCATGCTGCTGGAGTCTGAATCTGGAAGAGCAAATCTTGTACTGTACACCTGTCGAACAACGCTATTTTGGTCCTATTTCCTAAGCTTGTACCTGTTCAAACGTGTATTTCACCTCTTAAGGAAGAATGTCTTTAGCATGTGCCAAACTGTTTGAAAACTTGTCATAAACTAATTGGTATTGTATTGGGTTACATTCATTTGTTTACTGACCAAAATGTGGAATGTTTAAGTTAAAGTGCTTGCTGATTAAGTGATTATGGATATTCTTTCTTAATGAAAATATTGCTGGCGGTTCTTACCCCCAGTCTGTTTGAACTTGATATCAAGATTCTTTGTAAAATGTTGGTACTCCAATCATGCTTACCTAATCTCCCAGGCAAAAAGGGTGAGAGACCCTTAGAGACTGTGTCTGTCGAGCATGCTTTTGCTGCTGCCAAACTGTATCTGAAAGTTAGGTCTAATGGTTCCAATTTTGCTGTTGTTTAGCAATCTTTTCCACATAAAGAAGGCAAGAGCTCTGTATTTCTCAGAATATAGAGCAATATTCTAATTGTAGACTTGTTCATATTTCTATATTTATTTTTAAAAATATCATCATATTGGGATTGTTTAGTGATGTACGTCTTTCTAATTGATTTTTAAAAGTTAGTTCTTTTGAAGTGTCCTACAGAATCAAGACACAGATTCAGTCAGTTTACTTCCTTTTAACCTAAAGATTCATGAAAACTGTCTAGTGTCTAAAGTGGATTAAGATCCTCTATTGTTTTATTCTCTCAGATGTTTAGCAATGGATTCTCTTAATAAATATATTATCAAGTAAWTTTGTCAAGTTTTTTTTTCCAACTCAATCAGCTTTGGTTGATTTGATCTAAGGTTTTGATCTTGAGGCATTACGACAGTAAATTTCTTTTGTGTATTTTTGCGGTAAATATTTTTCATAAACATGCATCATCGTCACTTCTTAGAAGTACAAAATTGTATATATTATACAAGTTTATACCAAAAAAAAAGTTGATCAGAGCTCTGCAAAAACAGACATGAACATTGTGATCCAAGCTGCAGGAGGGAGGCCAAGCTGTAGGATGGTGCTGCGCTGTCGCTGCCTTGGGTTTTGTTTCCCTTCCCTTGGCTGCCTTCAGCATCTGCTTCCCACCCTGCCTGCCACAGGCTGGAAGTTACTGCTGCAAATGTAACAGGGAGCAAGAGCACTGGTCCCTCTGTAGGGCCTTAGGAAAAAGTCTTGTTCTCTTAACAGGTCCTGAGCAGCTATAAAAAACTTAGCTCCTTGAAAGGCTAGTTCAGACAAGGGTTAGATCATTCTTTCCGGATGGCATCCAAATCATTCTAGCTATGAACCTCTCTTCCTCTTAGCCAGCAGCAGCAGCAAGGGAGAAGGTGGCTGGAGCAGCCCTTAACCCAGCAACAGTAAGTTATTTATTAGCATTTTTAAGGCTGTATTTGTGTTGTCCTCACTTGACTTGAATCTGGCCATTAATACAAGGCTACACTGAGTCTAATTTAAAACCTGTCTTGAATTTTAGATGTAAGTTACATTAAAATACTATATAGTACTTCTTATATTGTTGAGTAAAAGAAATGCAGAGGATGTGAAGAGCAAGTTTTCATGTAAAATCCCCTTTTACTTATGTTTGCTCCACATACAGCCATRATTTCCCCAGAAGCAAAAGGAGGGAAACCAACGAGGCACAGTTGGAGCAGAGTGCAATGCTCCAAGCAGACAAAGGGGAGATTACTGATTACCTTCCATGATCCTTATTACAAACCCATGCATTCACAYGCATACTTGACAGTCTAAGCTGTAGTATTTTCTGCTCAGACTTTTTGGTGCTCCCCTGCAGGTCTTGGGGAAGCTAAGTGCTCTGTGCTCAAGTTCTCAGCTTCTTCATAAAGACATCCAGCCTCCTCATAAGGTAATTATCTTTCATAGAGGATGAAACCCTATTTACATTCTAACATTTAGTTTCTATAGCTACAAGCCCAAGTAAGAGCCAAATCCTAAACAGGCTTTCCTCCACTGGGTAGCAGGAATTTACTGGAAGTTACATGATGTATTTTCAACACACACAGGACACTAGATATTTTTCTATGTTCTTTTCCTGCTCTTAAAGGCAAACTTCACAAGCATACATGTTTTCTCTTAAGTTATAATGCCCAACTGACATAGCAACAGCACCTTTAAACCATAGCTATATAGCAACCCTGGATATATTCTGACTGTTTTTTTAAGTAAAACAGCTTGACAAAAAGGGCTAAGTTAACATATTACTTTTATTGGTTGTTTTTAATCTGATTAACAGAATTTGTTTTTTCTGTGCTTCCAAACAACTCTTTTAAAACTTAATCACCAGCCGTACCACGTGGTATCTACATCCCATTAAGAACATATTGTTTATCAGTAAAAGCAGCACAGGTTTGTTATTGTACCCTTAGCAAAACAGTTGAAGGAACTTCACAGCATTTTTCCATTATATAAGTTAAATGCTTTATATTCCTCCTTAAACATAACTTGAAAGAAGATGGACTTATATTGACCTATGGAGCTATTGTAACAGAAAAAAAAAGGAAACAAAAAAGAAACAAGCAAACAAAAAGCCCACAAACTTATTTTAGAACATTAGTTCCTTATTATGAATAATATTATGAATTATTTCTTATCATACAGTTTGGGAAGAAATAAAAGACTAACTCGTTACTCCTTTGAAAGAGCAGGAAGTAGAAAATATTTCACTGTTATAGACTGACAGTACCAAACAACAGCACCAGTGGGTACAAAAGAGAGGCTACCTTGCTCTTGTGCTCAAAATTGACAGGGAGAGCCTTTAGTGCAATAGCACCTGCATCTCTTATCACATTTATAGGGAATGTAGTTTTGCTACAGAACTGAGAACACTGAAAGCATGGAAAGAATCTTGGTCAGATCTTTTCTTACTGCCTATCTTCAAATTCTCAGTTTATGCAAATGAGGTTTTTAATATATAATCATTGGTTCAACAACCAGCCATTGAGAACTGGTTTCATTTTTCAGCAATCAGAAATCAGACCAGTTATTGCTTTTCATGCACATACCAAATTGGTCTGACAAATATTTTCACCAGCTTTCCCAAACTACACGTAAAGTTGTAGTATGCTACACATTAGGTTTTAAAACAGGAAAAAAATGCTACATATTTGTGCAGCAGGTTTTCATTCTTTTAACAGGTAAATCAAGATCTGATAAGCTTGTGATATTCATGTCTTCAAGTGTAAGTGTAACTTCCCTAACCCCCCCCACCCCCCAAAAAAAAGGTCTTCCATATCATACAGTTTATATACAGGACCAAATGAAAAATCTATTGGCAAATCTTAAGTGGATGTAGAAGAGCAATTCCTGAGTCTGTATTAAAAAACAAAATCACAATCTTTGATTATTTTTCTCCCTCAAGAATCCGATTCCTCTTCCTCCTCTTCCTCTTCATGCTCATGAAGACTTAGATGTAATTCAGTTTGATTGATAGCAGCCTCGTTGTCCATCTGCCCAAGACCCTGTTGCAATAAGAGTATTTAACTTGCCAGTTACCAAAAACAGCTGCAATCCTGAGTGTTTCTCAAATCACTATTAACATTGAATAGTCACATTAGGGATCTCAGTACTAAAATTGTTGACTACAAGCCCCAAAGTGATCAAATCTCCACAGAAGAGTTTYAACAAATTCAAGCTAATCATACTATTAGTATTTCCAGTCCTTACAGTTGGCTAAAACAGCATGCCATAGTTACAGCATAGAAAGTGCAGATTAAAACTATGCACATATAAAGCACAGAAACAACATGCTGCTTTCAGGGAGGAGAAAGGTGAAATCATTTGGGGCTTAGCTTAAATTGAAGTAGAAAATAACAACAAACCGGAGACACTTTGTATCTGAACCTTTCAATTAACTAATTGCATTAAAAAAAAAAATCTACCTAAGACCCTCACAAAAAAATATCCACATAAACTTCTGAAGTCACCCAGAGAAATAAATCAATAAAATGCCCCTTTCCCTGCCACTTGTGCTGCTGCACAGCAGTACGGGCTAAACCAAGCCCCGCATTTTACCCCGCCTTACTTTTTGAGTCTCCTCCGCAGCTTCCGATGAAGAGACTGTTAAATTCTCCTCTCTGGACCTAATCATAGACTGCAGTGCCAGCTCTTCCACCTGGAAACAAGGGAAAACAGTAGTCTTTGCAGTAATTACTTCTCAGAATTCACCCATTTCAAAACTAATCATTTTTGAATAACCAATGGCAACAACAGCAAGGTTTTTACATGAAATTTTGCATGTTTCCATCCTGTGGATCCCACCTGGATCCACTCGGGGTGCGGATAATGACCCCCACAACGGGGCAGGGGCTGGGCTGCATGAGCTTAGCTCTTATTATGCAAAGGCAGGTGCGAGGTGCAAACTGAGCCCATAACGCGTGAGAGCGGCTGCGATGCACGGCACCACCGCAGGGAACATCAGAGCAGCCAAGGCCGCTGTCACACCGCACATTATCCGTGGTTCGCTACGCGGGGCCATTTCCAACACCCCTTACCGTCCTCSTTTCCCCCCAATAAAATAAAAAGGAGGTAAAATATCAAAATAACAGGGGCCTGGGGCGGTCGCGGCCTCCGCGGCCCGCTCGCTCTGCCGGGGCCGCCCCAGGCGCCGCGGCCGGGCCCGCGTGTCCCCGCGGCGGCGCCCCCGGCCAGGCCCGACCTTGAGGCGGGTGAGCTGCTCGTGCAGCGCCGCCTTCACCCGCAGCAGCGTCTCCTCCTCCTTGCGCAGCTCCTGCAGGCGGCTC